CTTCTGCGGTCAATGTCGGCATGTTTTGTTTTATTTTTTTTTTTTTATTGATTTCAGAGAGGAAGGGAGAGGGGGAGAGAGAAACATCAACAACGAGAGAGAATCACTGATCGGCTGCCTCCTGCACGCCCCTATTGGCAATGGAGCCCACTACCCAGGCCTGTGCCCTGATTGGGAATCGAACCGTGACCCCACTGAGCCACATGGGCCGAGTTCAATTGGAGAGTTTAAGATGGGGTGGCTATGTGTTCATTTTGCCAAAAAGATATGATTTAAAGGACATGCCCGGTTGCTCCACTCTCCTGGGCCCAGCTCCCCTCAGTGTCTCTGGCTCAGCCCCTCAGCTCTCTGCTCCCAGCTGGCACCTCCCACCTCTCCCGTCTCCACCCCCCCTTCCCCTCCTTCCCCGCCCCCCCAGCCTCAGACCTGCTCCCCGACCGTGGGATAGGCCTGGCCTGGCCTCCCTCTAAGTGTCCTCCTGGCTGGGACCTGGTGGGGAGTGCTGGGCCTGGCTGATCTCTCGTCCTCCCACCCAGGGGCTGGAGACCATGCCCCCGCCCCTCCCCCGGCCACGAGACCGGGTGTGTGCACGTGGGCTGTGCTAACTGGTGCGCTTTCCTGTGTGGCTGCCATAAATCAATAAAATGGTTTATCAAAAATTAGCAGCTGAGCCGAAACCGGTTTGGCTCAGTGGATGAGCAATGGCCTGCGGACTGAAAGGTCCCGGGTTCGATTCCAGTCAAGGGCATGTACCTTGGTTGCGGGCACATCCCCAGTGGGGGGGGTGCAGGAGGCAGCTGGTCGATGATTCTCTCATCGATGTTTCTAGCTCGCTCTCTCCCTTCCTCTCTGTAAAAAAACCAATAAAATATATTTTTAAAAATTAGCAGCTGAGTTGGGACACACACACACACACACACACACACACACACGCGCGCGCGCGCGCACACACGCTCCCCCGGCTGACCCGGGCCGGTTGGATGAGGTTTATTCTTTAAGATTAACCTCCCAGCCCACTGCATTCCAGGAAACGGCAAGTTTACACTGGCCCTCTGTGTTTAATGGCCTGACAATAAAAGGAAACGTTTAAAGTTTAAAAAAGAGATGGCACTTGAAAGTTCATTTCTCAAGTCCTCCCAAGGAGCAAAGACAAATAAACGATAAAAAGAGAAACTTAAAAGACGGCGCTGTCATGGAGATAGCCATCGCCGAGGCAGACGTGGGGCGAGGCTGGGGCTGGAGCCACGCTCGGCCGAGGGGCCGGGGGCTCCCGGCTGTGCACATGGGCGGGGGGGGGGGGGCAACTACAACTTCCGGGCCTTGACCTCCCCCCAGGGACTCAACAAAAGGGGCGCCAACCCCTCCTCATCCCCCAGGAGATGGTGCTCTGGAGTAGAGCCCCCAGGGCCCCCAGGGCAGCTGGAAATGAGGGGGGAGGGAGGCAGCAGAGGGGGGAGGGAGAGGCAGCAGAGGGGGGAGGGAGGCAGCAGAGGGGGGAGGGAGGCAGCAGAGGGGTGCGGGAGAGGCAGCAGAGGGGGGAGGGAGGCTGCAGAGGGGGGAGGGAGAGGCAGCAGAGGGGGGAGGGAGAGGCAGCAGAGGGGGGAGGGAGAGGCAGCAGAGGGGGGAGGGAGGCAGCAGAGGGGGGAGGGAGGCAGCAGAGGGGTGCGGGAGAGGCAGCTTTGCTAGGCGAACCCACCAGCCTGATCCCCCAAACGTGAGCAAGGCTAACGCTAGTGAAGACAGGAGGGAGGAAGCCGCTGTGGAGGTGGCAGAGCAGCTGAAAACAATCCTATCTAATAAAAGGCTAATATGCAAATTATTCTGCAGAGAACAGGCTCCAGCAGGCTCTGTGCTGGGAGGAGGGGGCAGAACTACTGGTCGCTATAATGCGCTCTGATCACCAGGGGGCGGATGCTCAATGCAGGAGCAGTTCCCTGGCGGTCAGTGTGCTCCCACAGGGAGCACCGCTCAGCCAGAAGCCGGCTCACAGCTGGCCAGTGCAGGGCGGTGGCTGGAGCCTCTCCCGCCCCCGTGGATGCCTGGCTGCTGGCTCAGGCCTGCTCCCCTCCGCCACCCCCAGGGCTCCCAGACTGCGAGAGGGTGCAGGCCAGGCTGAGGGCACAAATCTCGTGCACGGGGCCTCTCGTCCTCAGATAAAAGTGCTGAGGGTCGTCAAAGACCATAAAAAACTAGGAAAGCAACACTGGCTTCGATGAGACAAAAACAGGGTCGTGAGAGAAATCCTGGAACTTCACGGCTCTGCAGCCCGGAGGCACCTGGTGGGACACACGGAAGACAGAGTGAGGGAGCCGAAGGTCTGACAGAGACAGGGCCCGAGACGGACCCGGGAAGCAGACAGAAAGGCAAGGGCCGTCGGCTGGAAATGGAGCCGTTGGCAAAGGGAGCTGCCGAGACCGGTTTCCCTGCCTCCCGGTGAGCCTGCCCCACCGTGGGAGCGGGCACCGCGGGCAGCTGTCCGAGGCGGGAGGACAGGTGCCGGGAGCAGGCTGGTCAGGGCAGCGGACCCGCTGCAGCCGCCGGCGGTGACTCAGCCCGGAAATGCCAGGTCCCCGCACGGGGGCGCCCGGCAGAGGAGTGGCCCCGGCGGACGTGGGGGCAGGAGCGCTGGCAGCCAGGCCGGAGGTCTGCAGTGGGGACAGGGCCTCTGCCAGTCACCCTTCCAGGAGCCTCAGACAGGCCCAGCCAGAGGGGGTGTGGGGGGTCACAGACAGGCCCAGCCAGAGGGGGTGTGGGGGGTCACAGACAGGCCCAGCCAGAGGGGGTGTGGGGGGTCACAGACAGGCCCAGCCAGAGGGGGTGTGGGGGGGCACAGACAGGCCCAGCCAGAGGGGGGGGGGGGGGGTCACAGACAGGCCCAGCCAGGGGGGGTGTGGGGGGGACACAGACAGGCCCAGCCAGAGGGGGTGTGGGGGGTCACAGACAGGCCCAGCCAGAGGGGGTGTGGGGGGGTCACAGACAGGCCCAGCCAGAGGGGGTGTGGGGGGGTCACAGACAGGCCCCAGCTAAAAGGGGGTGTGGGGTGGTCACAGACAGGCCCAGCCAGAGGGGGTGTGGGGGGGTCACAGACAGGCCCAGCCAGAGGGGGTGTGAGGGGACACAGACAGGCCCCAGCTAAAGGGGGTGTGGGGGGGTCACAGACAGGCCCACAGGGAAGAGAAGGTCGGGGCACAGGACAGGCTTGGTGGCTGGTGGGTGCTGGGGAGGCCCCTCGGAGCCTCAGCCCCGGTGACGAGGGAGCAGCGCCCCCGCCCGGCCAGACTCCGTCTCCGAGCCCCCGGCTCCAGGCCTGGCCTGCGGAGCTCTCCGGGCTGAGCTGTGGGCCCAGGACCTGAGGCTCGGCAGGGGGTCTGAGGGCTGTGCCCCGCTCCCCTCCGCCCCCTCCTCCCAGCACAGAGCCTGCGGGAGCCTGTTCTCTGTGGAACTGGCCGCTGGGTCTCCCTCTCCTCCTGCTCCCTCTCCCAAGGCGCCTGCCTCGCCAGCGCCCCCTGGCGCCCCGAGGAGGTGTTTCCACGCTGCCTGGGGCGGAGCTGTGAGGTCAGACGGGCCATGTGATGGCTGACACATAGGAAGCCCAAGGCACTTAGAGCAGCAAAGTCTTCCTCCTTCTGGGGAAAGAGCCCGGAACCCCAGGGTGCGCCAGCAGGTGGCACTGCCGCCGTGGGAATGGGCGCGGGGGGCGGATCCCCGTCTGGACGGTGGGAGGAGTGACCACTTGCTGTCCCCGTTCCAGAGAAGCAGGGAGCGTGACCAGCAGGACTCAGCGGTGGTGGGCGGCCAGGGGACCAGGCAGAGAGCATTATCCTGGGTCACCAAGGCCACCTGCTGCCCCCCTCCCCAAGCCCCCGCAGCCCCTGAGGCCACGGCCAGCCTTCCTGGTGCCCACGGGCCCCGACACCCATGGCCCCACTCCTCTGCCCGCCGCTCCCACTGCCCCCGGCCCTCTGGCCCTGGAGCTACAGCCCGAACACGGCCACGCATGTTCCCCACGATGCAGACCTACTTTAGGTTAAAGCCAGGGAAGCCAGGTGAAGTCAACACGGCGAACGCTCGCGATGGCTCAGGAGGACGTGACAGCAGCTCGGACGCTGCTCCAGGGCCAAGCGCAGAGCCCGCGGGGAGGTGGGCAGCCGCCACCAGAGGGCGCTGGGCCTCCCATGGGGTTCAGGGGGCTGATGGGAGCTCCATGTGGTGCCGGGGCCTGGCTCTCAGCACAAAGCCCTCAACGCTCCGGAGTCACTTCCTCCTCGTCCAGGACCCACAGACCCACCGGGACCCGGGGCATCCGGAGCCGGCCCAGAGGATTCTGGAACCGGGGGAGGGGGGGGGGTGTCTGACCTTGGCCAACAGCCCCTCCCCCCAACCTTTGAGCCCTGCATCGCCCACTGTGGGGGCTTCTGGCCCAGCCCAAGGTGTTCCCCAAGCCCCAGGCCCTGGGGACCGGCCCTGTGCCCTGCAGTGAGCTGGCGGACTCCCATTTCCCCGAGGCCGCGGGGCTCTGGGGACAGCGTGAACCCGCACAGGCTCCCAGCACAAGTTCCGTGAGGGGGTGCCCACCCTCACAATGAGGCCCCACGAGGCCCAGGGGTGCGGCCCCCGGGACAGTCTGGCCATCTGTGGCCTGGGGGAGGTTGCTGGGCGGCCGAGTCCTCGTCCACGGGCACGGAGGGCGGCCCACGCCGGCGGCTCTCAGCCGCACCAGGGGCGCCCGCTGGCCGGTGGCTCCAGGTCTGTCTCGGAAGTCCACCAGGGGCTCGGCTGCGCGGGGGCTGGAGTCTGGCTTGGGTCCGGGGGGAGCGTTGGAGGCATGAGCTGTGAAATCCGGGCAGGGGGCCTGCACTATGGGGCGGGTTCGCTGGCTTTTTTTTTTTTTTTTTTAAATATATCTTTATTGATTTCAGAGCCGGTGAAGCAGCACAGCGGCCTCACTCAGGGTGTCGCCCTGTGTCCAGCCTCTAAGGACAGGCTCTTCCAGGAGACGCTTTCTTCAAACAGCTCACATTTATTATCGGTAACAATAAAAAATCTTTTAAAGACTATAGTATTGTATTACCAAGAGTGAGGTAATAGGTTTACAAACATTTACAGAAGGTGAGATGCAGACAATGCATTGAGGGAGGAAAGTGGAAACCAATGGTTAGTGCTGGGGAAGGCAGGGGACAGCAGCGCCGGGAGCGCAGGGCACGCGAGACGGGGCCGTCAGAGCCGGGCGGGCACGTGTGCGTCTGTGCCCGACCCCACAGCCGCCTTCACCTCTGGTGAACTGTGCCGCTCCCCAACCAACTTAGCGCACCCTCAGACTGGGGGGAGGGGGGTCAGACAGCTACCATCCCTGGCTGATGTCACTGGCGACTGGAGTGTTTTCTTGGCAGCTGTCAGCAAAGTCGCCATCTGAGACGGAGGGAGGGAGGGAGAGAGGGAGAGAGGAAGGAAAAGAAAGAGGGGGAGGGAAAGAGGGAGAGGAGAGGGGAGGAGGAGGGGGGAGAGAGAAGGGACCACCTTCAGGCCCTTATGACTCGGAAGCAGGAGGGCCCCTGGCAGCAGACTAACCCTCTGAGCTTTGGGGAAGGACTCCCCTTTCTGGAGGAAACGCACAGCCTGTTCCGGGGGGCTCGGTATGGGGGCGCCTGCAGTATGGGGAGCCCAGGACCGCGTCAGTGTGCGGGCGGGCCCAGTGCCTCCCTGGCCAGGCGGAGGGCTGCGCACGGCTCCCCCTCGGCCGCACCCGTGCCCAGAGCTCTGAGCCCGCGGACGGCCCTGTGCGGTCACACACGCTCTGGCGCTGGGTTCCAGCCGCACCCCTGCCGCCCGCCACAGAGCGCCTTCCGAGGCGCCCGAGCCGTCCGACTCCCAAACCGCCCCCGTGAAAAGCGGGAAGCGGGGCGACACAGACGGCCGCTGCGGAGGGAGTAAAAGCCGACGGGAAGACGAGCTGAGCTCACAGCGCTCTGCTCCTGGGAGAGGCCTGAAGTAGGACCGGTCCTCCCTGCCCAGCCCGCAGCCCCCGTGCCCACACCCCGGAGTCACCTCCTGTCCCAGACGCAGGCCCTAAACCCCACCCCATCCCGGAGCGCCCACACCGAGCGTGCTGGCAGCAAAGCTGGACACCGGGCACCTTCAGAATGGCAACGGGACCAACCAGTGCGGCCCGGTGGCCAGGGAGCCGGGCCGCTGCCCTGAGGCTGTGGGGGCGCAGGGAGCTCAGGCCCCACATGCGGGCAGTGAGGGCCCCGGAGAGGGGGAGCCCGCAGCCCGGTGCCCACACGGGAAGGAGACGGAGACAATCGTGTTTAATGACGGCGGTGCCCGGTGTCACAGGAGCCGGACCCACACCACGGAGAGCCGTGGATCAGCGGGCCCGGAAGCCGGGAGGGGGCTCCCACAGCCGCCTCAGTCCTTCAGGGTGAGCCGCGTCCGTTCTGAGGCGGCCGCGGGCTGCGGCTGAGTCCGACGGGCGGTGACAGCAGGAGGTACGGCTGCTCCGCGCAGGAGGACAATATGGAGGCGATCTGGACATTTTCTGCATCAACACTGGAGGCAGAGCGGACCTCTAACTGCATGTAAACTACGCTCCGTGGCGATAGCCCTTGTGCTCGGCGATTGTGTGCGCTGCGTACAAAACCTATGGCTATTGAGAGGGAAGCTACCTGTCCGGAGTCGGACAGGGACTAGTTTACCACCTGGAGCTACCGCTACCTAGGGGCAGAGCCCAGCACTGCCGCCGGTGGAGCCTGCGGTCCGAGGCGGCGGCACTACCTGGAAGCCATGGAGCTGGAGTGGGACTGGCTGGAGGAGGTGGTGGCGGCGCTCAGCTGGGAGAAGCCGCTGTGGCTGGACTCCAGGCTGGTCATGGAGCCTCTGTGAAAGGCACAGAGAGGGGCAGCGTGAGGCCCGAGTGCCCGGCTCCCGTACTGCGCCCCTCCGGCCCAGCCTCCGCACTGTGCCCCCTCCAGCCCGGCCCCCCGCACTGCGCCCCTCCCGCCCGGCCCCCCGCACTGCGCCCCTCCCGCCCGGCCTCCGCACTGTGCCCCCTCCAGCCCGGCCCCCCGCACTGCGCCCCTCCCGCCCGGCCTCCGCACTGCGCCCCTCCCGCCCGGCCCCCCGCACTGCGCCCCCTCCCGCCCGGCCCCCCGCACTGCGCTCCCACCAGCCCGGCCCCCCGCACTGCGCTCCCACCAGCCCGGCCCCCGCACTGCGCTCCCACCAGCCCGGCCCCCGCACTGCACCCCTCCCGGCCCCCTGCACTGCGCCCCCTCCAGCCCGGCCCCCCGCACTGCGCCCCCTCCCGCCCGGCCCCCCGCACTGCGCCCCTCCCGCCCGGCCCCCCGCACTGCGCCCCCTCCCGCCCGGCCCCCCGCACTGCGCCCCTCCCGCCCGGCCCCCGCACTGCGCCCCCTCCCGCCCAGCCTGCTCTCTGCCCCACTCAGCACCCCCCTCCCGCCCGGGTCCCGCTGCCCGCCAGAGGACCCCGTGAGCTGCGCTGTCAGGCCCCGAGCCGCGGGCCGCACCTGAAGTCCTCGGAGCCGATGGCCTCGGTGTAGTACATGACCTTGCACTTGTGCGAGGACACCTGCAGCGAGGCCAGCACGTCGTCCACGCGGGGCAGGCTGGTGGCGGCGCAGGCGGGCATGCTGTGGAACTTCCACTGCAGGATGTAGAAGCCCGGCCAGCGGGTCACGTGGGAGCCCTGGAACGAGTCGGCAGGCTGCTGAGGTCTCCCTTCCAGGCGCCCCCAGCGGTCTGCCAGAGCCCGGGAGCGTCCCGTCCGCCGGCTCAGCGGGGGCACGGCCCGCCGGGATGGGAAGGACCTGCTACTCTGGGTCACTCCCAGCCAGGCGTCTGCTAGGGGCTGGGAAGGCCCCAAGGGTGACGCCGAGTTTGTCTGCCCCAAGGACCCGCCGCAGCCTCAGGGAGAGGAAGGCCAGGCCATGAGAGTTCAAGCCTTGGGGGGGGTCAAAGGTCATGTGGACCAGGCAATGCTCTTGCACACACTTCCATGATCTCCCTAACGTGTTCTGTGTTAACAGAACTCCATTCCAAACCACATGTCCCTGTGAGAACCTCCTCCGCTAATTCCGGAATGGGACTGCGAGTGGCTTAAAGCCCGTGACTGTTAACCGAAGCAGCTATTTCCTGACTCTGCTGCTAAGACACCAGGACACTGACAGGCTCCTCCCTGAGACGAGTGACAGCAAAACCACCGTCTGCCCTGAGAGCCCGAAGCACCGAGAACACCGCTGAGCGGGCGCTCACAGCCACCGCCGCGTCTCACGAGGACCTGACGGGCGCCTACAGATATAAAAGGCTAAGGGACCACCCGAAAGCCACCCGACCGCCAGCCAGCACACGATGTGCGCCGGCAACTTAAAATTTACATGCACGATGCATATCAAGCTCTCGCTGGCACCAACAGCACACGTGTGTTTGCATCTGTCACTGTCGATTGTGAATTTGATCGTTTTTGTTGACTTTCTGAAGCAGAAAGTGGCGGCAATGACAGAATTCGTCTGAAGACAGCTACCGGCTGTTGGTCACTTAGCCTTTTACACGTATAGACACACTCAGTAATTTTACTTCATCTCTGACACTTCTATTACAGAGAAGGGCGAATAGTGACATTAAAATATTCTTCTGATCAGTTAGTTTCCTTCAATGTGCAGGAATCCGTGCACCGGGCCTAGTTTTAAACAAACTAGAATGCCCAGAAAGACACTTAACAGTCCCCGAAACACTCGTTCTCTGCCTTCACTGAGGGTGAAACACGCACACAGCCGGGGGCTCGGTGGAGGAGCCCCTGAACCCCAGCTGTGTGCACCCAGTCCTCCCTCCTCCCGGGCCACCTCTGTGAACCCACTCCCAAGGCCACTCCCGCCCTTTAGACAGGCCTGGCCCGAGTCCTCTGCTCTAGGTCATCCTGATGGGACCAGGCGGGACACACCCTGTGCCGACAGACAGACAGACAGACAGGCCGGCCGGCCATGCGGGGCAGGAGCGAGGGGACAGCCTCCCCTCAGGACAAACCCCGAGCCGGCGTCGCCGACACACCTGCACACTCTCGCCTTCCCTGCAGATCAGCGGCGATTCCACCATGCTGTAGTCGCGGCCCAGCTGCCAGGCCCTGTCGATGAGCTGCACGTTGTTGCCCCCGGGGGACGTGATGCTGTGCGCCCCCAGGGAGTCCTTCTTGGGCGGCTGGGGCGACCGCTTGGAGTGGTAGATGTTGAAGACGATGTCCCCTTTGCACACATCAAAGTCCCACGTGATCACCGAGGAGGCATCCACGATCTGCACGAGGATCTGGAGGAGGGGACACGAGTGCGTCACCAAGGCGGTGAGGGCCTTGCCGCTGCTGTGGCTCCGGGCGCCCAGCCAGCTGGGAGCTGGTGCTGCCCTGTGGCTGGGCCCTGAGCCGGGCACTGTTAGCCACCCTACGGCCCAGGGCTTCCCAGTGCACAGTCTTTAGAAAGCTCTCGAAAACACTGGGTCCGGGCTGTGAACTCTCAACAATACAAAGTGGATGTAAGGCCAGGAGGGCCCCGGGGTCCCGGGACCACTCTGGGCTGGGAGCTCAGGGGAGGCTGAGCAGGTGGGAGCTAAACCCGGAGGAGGGAGGATGCCTGCCAGGCGGCCTCTGCTCACAGCGGGCAGTGGCAGCCGCGGGCGGGAGGAGCCGGGGGTGAGTGCCGATCTAAAACCTGCACTTCACATGGCGCCACAGAAAGCTTCTAGCAGGAACAACCGAGTTAGTCTCAGGAGGTTACCGTGGGGAGGAGGCGTGAGAATCAGCAGCAGCGGGGAGAGGGTCTGTGTTCACTGGAAGCCCCAGTGGAAGCCCGGCCCGCGCCCCTCCCCTGCGCCCCCTCTCAAGTAGCCTCTGCGTCTGAGCACTTCGCTGTCTTCTATTGCACCACTGCCTTCTCGCTGCCAAAACACTGGACGTTCCTTAAGGAGCAGGCCCACAGAGCATGAGGTCATGTCTAACAGCGGTGGCACTAACGGAAACGTGCACCCGCAGCTGACAGCACCCCTCTCCGGCCTTCACATGGGCACTGTATTCAGCCTCGTTTGAGACACATCCTGTCCTCGCTGTGCTTTACTGAACATCCAAACGGACATGAAGGCCCAGCCAGCAGCCCGCCCTCTGAGCGTCCTCTCCGCGGCTGAGCCAGCGGCCTGGCAGGGCTCGGGGGGGAGACGCTGTGAGCTCCTCACCCCCTGGGCCAGCAAACACGGGGAAACCCTTTGATATAAAAACCAAGTCCGGCCAGTAAAACAGAAAATGAAGCGTGTGCTCCTAAGAGACTAACGCCAGGAGTCCACCTCCGTGCGGCCAGGAGCGCGAGGGGACCGCCCACAGCTCCCGCGACGCTGCAGCGCCTGCTCCTGAGCGAGCCCTGCCTCCGCCCCCTGCGCCCGCTCACCTCGTGGGGGGCTCCTTTGAAGACGCTGGCGGACTGGTAGATGGTCTCGGTCCAGAGCTTGAGGTCTTCGTTCTCCAGCTCCTCCGCGGTCCGGTACAGGGACTTGGGGACCAGCCCGCCCTCCGGCACCTCACACTGCAAAGCAGACACGGCGAAGCTGAGCGAACACGGCGCTGGCCTGACGGTCAGGGCGGTGCGGCCCCGCCTGGCAGCCGCCCCGGAGCTGCTGGGGAGGTGGGGGCTGGCGGGGCGTGGAGCCCGCAGCTTGGCCACCGACTCCCAGACCTCCTCCCCCCGTCTGGCTGTGAGCAACGGAGGACGAGTGGCAGCCGAGGTACCACGGAATCCACACCAACATGGGTGGGTTCTGGACTCAATTACGAACCATGTTTATGTGAGAATGGCCCCTGGAAGGGAAACGTGAATTTGGAAAGGGGCTGATCCACAGGCATTGCTTTATTTCTGTAATCACGGTCCAGATATGTTACCACTGCCCGCCAAGTGACTGCCGTAGCATCAGCCAGAGCTGCTGCGCACAGCTCCCTGGGGGCGGCCTCTCCACAGCAGAACGAGGGGAGTGCCGCCATTCCACTCCAGCCTGGACGCCAGCAGAGAGCGGAGAGGAAGCGCGAAGGCCAGCATGGAGACCTCCCTCAGCTACGGGGCCTCCCATCTGGACACAGCACGGTGGTCAGGTGACACGCCTTCTGCTCCCACAAGCTTCTCACTGGAGCAACTGCCTGAGAATCCTCCCACGGAACTCAGGTCACTCGTTGGCGGGCTTCTACTGTCTGACCTTGGGGCAAGGTCACGGGCACGGGAAGTCCGGCCCCGTAGTGGCACGCCCCTGCCCGGCACTGGCACACCGGCCCGCCCTCCGGCAGGGCTGAGGAACTCCGGGCGGGACGTGAGTGCTGCCTAAATTCTCTCACCGTCAGAAAGGTCTGCCTAGCCCCCGGCTCACTAGCTCAGCACGTGTGTCAGGAAAGACCACTTTCTCTCCGAGGGAGCAGAGGGCCTTCCTCTCAAGAGCCCGACTCCTGAGTCTGCGCCCCCCGGCCCCCGGGCCCTGCAGCTGCGCGCCCTCCCCGCTCACAGGCCGGCGAGCCCGCTGCACGGTCCTCAGGGACCACACATCCCGACTCCCTCTCCCCGCTCAATGCGTTAAAGTCCCAAATTACGGGAAAGAGCAGGATTCATCCTCATTACAACGCCATCCTGGTTTATCACCAATGGGGACATCTTTTTTACAATAACGCTGATTTTGTTAATAGCGCTTTAGAAAAACACACAGCTCCGCTGAGACAGCTAAGAAATCTGATTCAGAAAGACAAGTGCTTTGTGATTTCACTCACACGGCGAATCTAATGAACGAAATGAACCAGCATCTGACTCACACAAAGCGGAGGGAATAAAGCAAGCTGCAATTAGATTAGACCTTGGCAAGTTCCCTTTGGTGTTTAACAGTGAGGAAATGTGGCCCTGACCGGTGTGGCTCAGTGGATAGAGCATCAGCCTGTGGACTCAAAAGTCCCAGGTTCGATTCCGGTCAAGGGCAAGTACCTTGGTTGGGGGCACATCCCTAGTGGGGGGTGTGCAGGAGGCAGCTGATTGATGTTTCCCTCTCATCGATGTTTCTAACTCTATCCCTCTCCCTTCCTCTCTGTAGAAAATCAATAAAATATATTTAAAAACAATGAGGAAATGTGCATGTTATCAAAAATCACCTGAACGGTGGGTCAGAGAGATGCCAGTCAAAAATAACAGAAACAAAACCCAATACTTCAAACTAACATTCTGGAACCCCCGCCCCGGTAAGCAGCAGGGCGGCCTGCGCACGCACCATGCACTCCCCGCCCAGGAAGTCGGGGATGACCTCCCGGTCGATGTAGTCCAGCAGCCCGCCGGGGCCCTGGTAGTCGTTCCCCGCGTAGATGAGGAACTTCCTCCTGGTGTTGTCGTCGATGAACGGGCTGACCTGCGGGAGGGAGAGAGGCAGTCACTCTGCACGGCCCCGCGTCCACAGGCCGAGGGACAGCGGGACCCGTGAGTGGGGAGAGGGAGGAGCCTGACACCCTCTGGTAAGGTCCGTCTGCATGGCACCGGGACCCGGGAACCCTTCTTCCCGCAACAGCGGGAGAGACGTCTGTCTTCTCTAACTGCCGGGACCCGGCGTCAGCCGCGTGGGCATGATGGGGCGTGTGCTGGCCACAGCTCCAACCCACCAGCGTCCAGAGGACCGGGAACACGCGGGGAGCTCGCAGGATCAGCAGGCGGCCCAGCGTCTCGGGGTAGTTGGCCTCCACCACCTCGATGATGCGCAGCAGGGCCTTCACGCCGGGCCGCCACAGGTGGCGCATGTTCAGCCCCTCCAGGTCCACCAGGCAGGTCCACGAGCTGCGGGCGCAGACGCGTTATTCCCAACACGCACGCAGCTGGACGCGGGGCCCACAGCCACCGTTCTTTACTCTCGTGTTATAACTTAGTCATCCACACCCACTTTCAAAAACGTCCGCTCTCAGACCAACAGGCTACGTGCTAGACTGGTACCTGCTGTAACGGACCCGGTCAGCGTGGCCCCCTGCACGCCCAGAGCCCGGTGCTAACGGGCAATGCCCCGCCTCGGCCGAACGTGCTCGGCGGCCAGCAGGTAGGCCACGAGCAGCGCCAGCCCCGCAGGTCTGACCGGGCGGCAGGGGAGCCTGCAGGGAGCCGCCCAGGGCCCAGAGCCGAGCGCTGTCCGGAGCCGAGGCTGTGGTGGGAACCAGCCTCGGAGTCCTGCCCTCAGAGCTTCCCTCCGGCGGGCCTCTGCCCACCTGCTCAGCCCTCAGTCCCGCACAGCCGCTCGCCGGGACCAGCAGTAGGATGAGGAGGACACACTGATTTTTGAAGCTGGCGCCCCTGCTGCCGCACCCCTAACAAATGAAAAACCCAGACTAACCCTAACCTGCCAGCCTGGGCTCTCAGGACCACGCAGACTAACCAGCCTGGCCAAGCCTCCGAGCGGTCAGAAATGCCAACCCCGTCAGCCGGAGGAAGACAGCGCAGCCTACCTGATGGGCCGGCCGAAGACCTTGGTGTTCTCCTCGCAGCGCCGCAGCCCCTCCTCGTTGATGGAGAGGACCTGCGTGAGAGGCCACGGGAACGCCGTTAGCCTGGGGTGACCCAGCATCAGACATGGCGACTGATAAGCAGGCCAACCCGGGCATCTGTTAGGATTTCTGACACACTCAGCCCATCGCCAGCGGGCCTCCCTCTGAAGAGAGGGGGTGCTGTCCTCTGCGGCTGGGACATACCCTGGGCGGGGTCACGGGTGGGCGTGCCTGCCGTGGGGGGCGTGGCCGCAGAGTAGGGATGACACCACACCTACCACCGGGGAGAGGGCGGGTCAGGCGGACTGGAAGCACGGTCTGAGGAACACTGTTTGGATGACAAGCCTCCCTGCGGCCTGGCCTGTCTTTGTGTGCGTGCGCGTGTGAGTATGTTCGCACGCCCGTATGAGCACACACAGGCGCTGAGAGCCCACACAGAATGCCAGGGGGGGTGTGTTAGGATCATGGAATTACGGATGGGCCTTTTAAAGCTTTGTTCGTCTTTTTAATTGAGGATCGTACTCCTCTCCTCGTAACTGCCACTGTGGAGGCTGCAGAGGAGGGGCGAGTGAGTTGGGAGGGAAGGAGACTGGTTGAGGTGGAAGATGCAGGAGCCCGGATCGAGCGGTGCAGGGGGAAGGCCACTGTGAAGAGGTCGGGTGAGAGAATCTCGAAAGGAGTCAGGGAGGGGGAAGGTCAGGGTGGGGGAAGGTCAGAGAGGACGCAGCGCCCAGTGGCCATCCGAGGGGCTATGGTGACCTTTGGGTCAATGTTTTATAACTTCCGTGCCCGCCTCCGACATCTCTCACACACTGACAGCTTTCCTTCCCGTGACAAAGGCGACAGCCCAATCCCGCGTGGCAGGCGCGGCCGAGCACTTACGTATCTGAGCAGCGCCTCCTCGCCGAGCGCCCGCACCAGGCCTTTGGTGTCCATCTGCCCCAGCCGGAGCACGTACAGGGGCCGCCCGTCTGCAGGAGGGAGGCGGGTTACACGCGGTGCCGCATGTCCCACTGAGAGCAGCTTCTGTGGCTGCAGGAGCCCCACTCTCTTCCCCAAACCAAAACCGCCCATAGAGCAGCTCAGCAGGTGGCGGAAGAGGGGTGCCCCGAGCACAGGGCTCAGCTTTTCACTTCACACCCAGGACTGAGGGCGGCCCCCCCACAGACAGCTTCCCCGTGAGCACCTGGTTCCACTTCACAGGCTGCCGGCCTGCTCCGTCAGGGCCTGGGGAGCCAGCATCCCAGGAGCAGCTACAGGACGGAAATGGCCTAATGGCCAGTGTCCCCAGCAGCCCCGAGTGGCGCACACGCGTTCCTGGTTTAGGTGGCTCCATCCTAGGCTTGTTTTCGCTCCTCCCCTGCCCAGAGCTGCCGCTCTCCCTGCTGAGGTGGGATCCGGGCTGTGTGCCCTCCACCTCCGGGTGTGGTAGGCCTGGCGTGCCCACCAGCATTGTGCTCCTCAGCTGCCCAGCCTCTGGCTTTAGCCCCAAACCACGTCCTTCAGGGCAGCTCGGCCTGAGGAGGAAGCTCGGGGCCGGCCTGCCTCAGGCTCCGGCGTTCCCAGTGGCCAGGAGGCCGTGGTGAACGGCGCCCATGTTTTCGGGCTGTGGGGAGGGGAGGGACGCCGCCCTCCAGGGCCCACACGCCCGCGGGAGGAGTCTCCCTCCAGCGCGTCCCGAGGGCCCGCCCCACACTGCCTACCTTTGTCGTGGTGGTGCCAGCCGCCCGCGTAGTAGTCCTGCAGGACCTGCGGGGGATTCCAGGTGTCCAGGATGTAGTCCACCTGGTGCTGCTTGCGCCACGTCAGCGACTGGCACATGATCTCCCTGGCTTTGTCAATGTTGAAGTCCCGGGCGCGTAAGAACCGGAGAATGTGCTCATCTTTGGGGATCTACGGAGGAGAGGAGAGGCGCGGTGAGCAATGCTGGAAGTTGCTACGGGAAAACAGTTACCAAGGGCAAGACTCTCAATCATCCACTTCTCACGAGGGGGCTGGTGCTGGCCGGTGTGGCTCAGTGGCTAGGGCATCGGCCCACAGACTGAAGGGTCCAGGTTCAGTTCCAGTCAAGGGCACCTACCCTGTTTGCAGGCTCGATCCCCAGGCCAACCAGCCCTGGTCGGCACATGCAGGAGGCAACCAGTCAGTGTGGCCCTGGGCTCCCTTCCCTAAGTAACACCAGCGTGACCAGGCACACAGCGTGCCTCTTGCACTTCCAGACCGTTAGCCTGAGGCTCATTACAAAGCCTCGTCCTCATGAGGCCCAAATTCTACCAAAACCTTCAAAACCAAAGCTCATTTCCAGTCTCTGAACAACCTGTGAACTCCTTCCACACCTCTAAACGTGTCACTGTTTCCAAGCGAGACCCTTCTCTGTAAACCCGGACAGGGCTCCAGAGCCCGCCGGGGACCGGCGCCACGCAGACCCAGCTGTGGCAGGCGGGACAGTGACTCTGCCCAGGCCCACGGTCCCCACAGCACACGAGGCTCTCACCTTGCCCTTGTGGGTCTCCTGCAGCCACTGGCGCAGCCGGATCAGGCAGCTCTCCTGCAGCGGAGTCAGGTCGCCCAGGTACCTCTTGATGTAGTCCGCGTCCAGCTTGTCTGCAACGGAAGTCGGGGCATCGGTCACAACCAGCACACCGGACACGATGCCACAGGGCCCTGCTCAGCGAAGCTACGTGCGGTCCAGTCTCAGGACTCAGGGACACCGGAGGGCTCCAGGGGCACCCAGCCACCCCTGGACGCTGAGGGCACCCGGCCACCCATGGACGCAGAGGGCACCCAGCCACGGACAGCCCCGGTAACCAGTGGATCTATCCTATCCCCTCGGTGCCAGCAGGTCCCTCCATTTGCAAAATGTCAGCACTGCTCATGGCAGAACAGTGTCCTCCCAGGGGTTCAGTGCCTCTCCACTGAGAGTCAGAGAGCTCACAGCTACAATCATGAAATAAAACAAGCGGAGCTGAGCCCGCTGTGAGCGAGCTGTGTTTAAGAACACCGGAAACCTTTTTCATGCTGAGCAGCAAACACTGCAAACATGAGGCGGGAAAGGAAGTGCAGCACAGAAAACGCGCAAGGGGCCAAACAGAGCGCAGCCCCAGCCAGGGACACGCCTGCCGCCTCTGGAGCAGCGAGTGGCACCGCTGAGCTCAGAGGACGGAGAGGAAGGTAAAGATCAACATCTGACAAGGCTCCCGAGTGGTGGAACTTTCTGGCGTTTTCTTATTTTACAATGGGCGTCACTGGGAAATGAAAAAGGTGTGTGTGCGGGTGTGTGTGCTCACGCGCAGCCCAGCTGACAGCCTTGGAGCCAGCCGCTGTCTGCTGCCGGCCCTGCCAGGAACAGCATGCGACTCTACGCAGACTCCTCCGCGGCTCAGTGCCCCAAGGAGCACTGCCTTCCCACAGGCATGATGAGAGGGCTGCTCAGAAAGGGCTTAGAGCCGAAACCAGTGTGGCTCAGTGGATAGAGCGTTGGCCTGCGGCCTGAGAGGTCCCAGGTTCGATTCCGGTGGGGGGCATGTGCCTTGGTTGCGGGCACGTCCCCAGCGGGGGGTGTGCAGGAGGCGGCGGGTCGATGTTTCCCTCTCATCGATGTTTCTGACTCTCTGTCCCTCTCTCTTCCTCTCTGTAAAAAAATCAATGAAATATATTTTAAAAAGAGAAAGAAGAAGAAAAAAGGAAGGGCTTGGAGCAGCGCCCGCACAGTGAGCACGCAGCGGTGAGGAGCTGTGTCGGACCGTGAGGTGCCACCCGCATCTGCTGAGGTGCGGTCAGCTGCCGTCAGCGGAAGACGTCTGTCACAGCCTCACAGGCCCTCCCGCCGCTCCAGAGACCGAGCGCCTCGCGAGGACACCGCCACGAAGCGGAGGAGGGGCCTGCGAGGCCCTACGGGAACTACGAGGCAGTCACCGCACAGGAAGCGGCGGGCAGGCCCGGCCAGGGCCGCTCTCGGGATGCACCCACCGTCGGGGGTGCCCGCGGCGGGCTCGGAGGCCCCGCCCGGGCTGCCGAGGGCCTCGCTGCTCAGCCCGTCCTTCTGCGCAGCCTGCGGGGCCGCGGAGGCCAGCGAGGCCGCGCGTTTCCGGCACGACGCGGCCGTCTCCGCCGAGGGCGCCGGGGGCGGCGGGGTCCAGCGGGGCACGAAGGTGATGCCCTCCTCCTCCAGCTGGTGAAGGTAGTACTCGATTATCTCCTTCCCCTTCAAAGCAAACAGGGAAGGTGAGCACACATCCGCCCTCGCAGGCTTTCATACACCAGCAAAACTCAACCGCTGGGAGTGAAGAGGGAAGTCGAACGCCTTTGCGTTCTTGTCTCTCACATTTTACTTCCTCTTCTCCAAAGGTCTAGGAAGTGCTATCTAAAGAGCCAGATTTTATGACTAATTAGAAGCACTGCTTTGCCGCACTTGCACGCAATATGTGCTTTGTGTCTCAATCCAAATTCTTTCCAAAGCCCCAAATGAAACAAGCCTTCAAAAGCACCCAGAACCCCCTGCTGGTGCAGCTCAAACCCAACCTCCACAATAATGAGCAGCAGCAAAAGAACGAGAAGGAGCCCGGCCTGTGGGGCTCAGGGGATAGCGTCGGCCTGCAGACTGAAGGGTCCCAGGGTTCGATCCCGGTCAAGGGCACAAGCCAGGTTGCGGGCTCATCCCCAGGGTGGGGTGTGCAGGAGGCAGTCGATCAATGATTCTTTCATCACTGATGTTTCTCTCTCTCTTTCTCCCTCTCTGAAATCAGTACACTTTAAAAAAAAACCAAAAAACTATATTTAAAAATTAAAAAAAGAACGAGGAGGAAAGTTCTTCCATGCAGATAAGCCAAAGACCCAAGGCTGGACCCTGAGCTCCGCCGGGGGCGGCGCCTACAGCCGCAGGTCCTGGCGGGCACCTGGGGCCTCCCGGTCCCGTCCCGCACGTCCCAGCCAAGAGGGCCCGGCCTGGGGCACAGGCTCCTCCCACCTCACTGGCAGCCAGCGTTCTGGGCACCGGGATCTGAGGCCCGGGGAGGTCAGAGCAGTTCCCCAGAGAAATGGCGGGGACCCTGGGCACCCCATTCTCGGCCTCCCACAAAGCCCGCCGGCACGAGCATCCCAGGATCGCCTGCCCCCCCTTCCCACAAAACTCCAAGTCAGACTCACTTTTTTAATGTTGCTGGTATACTGTTTCATTGCAATTTTCTCCACTGTACTTTCAAAACCAAAGAAAGACTTAATATCTAAACTCGCAGACTGTTCAAAACAGGTCCAATCTTCATTTTCAGGGTGAACCTTTAGGTTGAGAAAAAATTACATTAGCTAACTGTTAACTGAGAATGTCATCCGTCTGCCCCTCAATCAACTAGTCAGCATAAGAAAAAACTTATTTTACCAAATAACGTTATTACCCTGAAAGTAGCAGATAAAAAATTACAGAGAGGTTCAAAATCACGAAAAGACCAAAATACTATTTCTAAAACATTCAGGCTGGCGTCACCAGGGAGGGCGTCAGCGGAGGCTGGAGGAGGTCCCTGCGAGGCCGTCTGCGGCGCGGACAGCAGAGGGAGCGGGCTGGGCACGAGGCGGGCGGGTGGCAGAGGTCCGGCCTCTGAGTGCCAAGCCATCCCTGCTGGGTTCTGAGCCACGTCACGTGATCTGACACACTGTGTGTGTGGGGGTGGAGACGTGTGGCTCGGGACTCACGGCTGATTCTATAGGAGGGAGGGGAGGAGCGGGAGACCCAGGAGGCTATTGTAACGATCTGGGAGGGAAAGTTCTGGAAACGGTGGTAAGGGTGAAGCTGTAGGGCACTCAATGTACCCAGCGCCACTCAGAGGTCCCAGTCTTCAGTAGACATGTAAAGGCGGAGTGGGCGGCACACACACCCACACACAGACCCAGGCAGCATTGCCGCCTGCACTCTGAGTGCACCTGCACCCACCCCTGCACCTGCCGCCCACCGCGGGAGAGGGCCAGCCTGAGGAGAGGCCAGCCTGAGGGGAGGCCAGCCTGAGGAGAGGCCAGCCTGAGGGGAGGCCAGCCTGGGGGGAGGCCAGCCTGAGGAGAGGCCAGCCTGAGGAGAGGGGGCCAGACTGAGGAGAGGCCAGCCTGAGGAGAGGCCAGCCTGGGGGGGCCAGCCTGAGGAGAGGCCAGCCTGAGGAGAGGCCAGCCTGAGGGGGGGCCAGCCTGGGGGGGACAGCCTGAGGAGGGGCCAGCCTGAGGGGAGGCCAGCCTGAGGGGAGGCCAGCCTGGGGGGAGGCCAGCCTGGGGGGGGCCAGCCTGAGGAGGGGCCAGCCTGGGGGGGCCAGCCTGAGGAGAGGCCAGCCTGAGGAGAGGCCAGCCTGAGGGGAGGCCAGCCTGGGGGGAGGCCAGCCTGGGGGGGGCCAGCCGGAGGAGGGGCCAGCCTGAGGAGAGGCCAGCCTGAGGGGAGGCCAGCCTGAGGAGAGGCCAGCCTGAGGGGAGGCCAGCCTGGGGGGAGGCCAGCCTGAGGAGAGGCCAGCCTGAGGAGAGGGGGCCAGACTGAGGAGAGGCCAGCCTGAGGAGAGGCCAGCCTGAGGAGAGGCCAGCCTGGGGGGGCCAGCCTGAGGAGAGGCCAGCCTGAGGGGGGGCCAGCCTGGGGGGGACAGCCTGAGGAGGGGCCAGCCTGAGGGGAGGCCAGCCTGAGGGGAGGCCAGCCTGGGGGGAGGCCAGCCTGAGGAGGGGCCAGCCTGGGGGGGGCCAGCCTGAGGAGGGGGGAGGCCAGCCTGGGGGGCCAGCCTGAGGAGGAGGGAGGCCGGCCTGGGGGGCCAGCCTGAGGAGGGGCCAGCCTGGGGGGAGGCCAGCCTGGGGGGAGGCCAGCCTGGGGGGGGCCAGCCTGAGGAGGGGCCAGCCTGGGGGGGGCCAGCCTGAGGAGGGGGGAGGCCAGCCTGGGGGGCCAGCCTGAGGGGGGCCAGCCTGAGGAGAGGCCAGCCTGAGGAGGGCCAGCCTGAGGAGAGGCCAGCCTGAGGAGGGGCCAGCCTGGGGGGGGCCAGCCTGGGGGGGGACAGCCTGAGGAGGGGGGAGGCCAGCCTGGGGGGCCAGCCTGAGGGGGGCCAGCCTGAGGGGGGCCAGCCTGAGGGGGGCCAGCCTGAGGGGAGGCCAGTCTGAGGAGGGGGGAGGCCGGCCTGGGGGGCCAGCCTGAGGGGGGCCAGCCTGACGGGGAGGGGGCGCCCGCAGACAGGGCTGGGAGCGGGCGCCACTCACGGTGTAGCAGCAGTGCTCCTTGATGATGACGCGGTTGGCGAACGTCTCGTTGTGGGCCTCGATGTGCAGAGTGCGCTCCCGGGCGTTCAGCGAGTTCTTCTGGACGAAGTACACGTAGTCCACGCCGGCGATCTGTGAAGACACGGAGGAGGTGTCAGGGCCGCCATGGCGGCGACGGCGGGGTGCGTGCTCGCTCGGCGGGCTCGGCCTGTCACCTTCTTCAGCAGCCGGGGGGCGTCTATGTCCAGCTTGCAGCGCCGCTCTATGATGTGGATGGCCCCGTCCTCGCTCCTGAACTCGTTCACAGTGTCACTGTCCACGAACATGGGGATCAGCGGGCACGTGGGGAACCTCCTCTCGTAGGCCTGGGGTGGAGAAGGGGGTGAGGAGGGGGCAGACACCCTGGTAAAGCCTCTTCCCGGTCGTCAGCGCGGCCGCGGCTTCCAGCTCCCCGAGAGGCGCTTTCTGGTTTGCTCTCCAGGCCAGCTCTCCCACGCGGACACAAACCTCCCGAGGTTCCTCCAAACCCCAGCGAGGCTCTAGTCGAGGCTCCCAGACACACGGGAGGGCCGGACGCGGTACCAGGCTCACGGTCTGAGCCACAGCGAGGCAGCCGGGTGGGACTGGCAGAGCCGCAGCCATAAACTAACCCACCAACAGGCCCGATGACTTCTGACAAAGCCGCTCAGCGACCCAACGAGGAGACTGGCTTTCAACAGTCCCTGGAGGAACGGGCCCCCACCAGAACCCTGAAATTGTAAGTTAACTGAAAATGGGTCACAGATTTGTGTGTTTTCTTCTGTTTTCCTTTTTAAAATATATATATATTTACTCATCACTTAAGAGAGGGAGAGAGGGAGAGGGAGAGAGAAAGAGGGAGAGAGAAACATCAATGATGAGAGAGAATCATTGATTGGCTGCCTTCTGCACGGCCCCTGCTAGGGATCGAGCCCAGAACCCAGACATGTGCCCTTGACCGTAACTGAACCCTGGATCCTATCCACTGAACCAAACGGCTGGGGCAAAATGGATCGCAGATTGAAACATTCTTGGAACATTCTTGCAATGACAATATTACAGTAACAGAGCATCCTGGTGACACAGGGGGAGGGTGCGTGGGTGACGCAGGGGGAGGGTGTGTGGGTGGGGGGACAGTAGCGGGCGGCAGGGGCACGGGGGAGGCTGTGTGTGTGATGCGGCCACGCCAGGCCCTGATGGTGAAGATGTGCCGAGCTCCTCCAGGCGCTGCCTCTGAGGTGGGAAAGAGCGGCCGCCATGTTCCTGCCTGTGAACACTGCCAGCGAGCCTGATCCTACAATTATCTTGGAACAAACTACTTAATTAAAGGAAGACTTGCTATATATATATAATCCACCCAACTCCTAGGAAACACGCAGGACCCGGACCAGGTCACTCAGCGCCACCGTGCAGGCCACGGAGCGACAGGCACAGGCTTCCAGAAGCCAGCCCCTGGTCTCACCTGAAGCCCGTTTCCCACCCCGTCCGGCCACAGAGCCCACCCGCAGCCTCCGCACTGAGCACCCCGAGGCGCCCGGTCCCCGCGCCGCCTCCCCCCGCACGGGAAAAGCGGCTCTCATTTCCGAAGGTCCCTTTCCCACCGATTCTCTGCGAGGCACCGGCTCTCTTCCTGACCACGCTCACGTCTACGAGAGCGAGCTCTCCAGGCTGACATGGCAGAGGGAGAATGTCCTTCAGGGTCCCCCCTTAAAGGAACGCAGCTTTGGAAGAGAGGCTGCTGCAGCCACGTGCTCAGCCTGTGTGTGCAACCCAGCAACGCTCACACACACACACACACACACACACACACACCACCTGCCCGGGGGAGCTGCCTGCTGCTAACCCGCTGCTCCCCCTCCTTCGCCCACTCTGCTTCCAAAAGCGGCTCTGAGCCTGCAGTTTGGGGGCGTGGCAGCAGCGCCTCCAGTCTTCCCATCAAATCTGAATGCCACTCTGACATGAAAAGCTCGCACTGTGCAAAGACATTTTAACTTGAGAATTATTGAGCTTAATATTGCATCCTGCCAGCAAAACCCATATAAAAGAAGTTCCATTTAAAGAACCTTCCTTTAAACTGAACTACATTCACTTCCAATTTAGCCAACCAGCTAAGCCACTGATTTCCATGTACCCACTTGGGTACCTATGGATTTATTTATAAGCAATTCTCGTTTTGCTCTGGAAAATCCATGCATGAACTATGCCTTAAGTCTCTCTTAGAAGTTGCCAGTGGCTCAAAAAAAACCCCAAACAAACAAACAAACAAAAACAACCAAAATACAACCAAAATACAACATATCGAGAAAATGTAAATTGACCAAAGCCCCTCCAAGTTAAAATTCTGTAATTCATTCACGATCAAAATTACAGATCAAGCCTAGCCAGCGTGGCTCAGTGGATAGAGTGTCGGCCTGTGGACAGAAGGATCCCGGGTTCAATTTCGGTCAAGGGCATATGCCCAGGTTACAGGTTCAATCCCCAGTAGGGGGGATTCAGGAGGCAGCCCAGTCAATAATTCTCTCTCATCACTGATGTTTCTATCTCTCCTTCTCCCTTTCTCTCTGAAACCAATAAAAATATATTTTAAAAGATTACAGATCGGAACCGAGGGCGCACCGTATGCAGACACCGTGCTGGGTTCTGGAGAACACAAAAGTGGAAGGCACCACAGGCATGGCTGTCTAGGCAACATGAAAAGCACCGTTCTCCGCAAAGGACAGGGAAAGCAGACCGAGGCGGCGGGAACCTTCTAGAACTGCGCTGACAAGAAAATTGCTCAAGACTCAGGGCAGCACTCGGTGCTGGGCACAGCAGAAGGCCTGCTGAGAGGAGGAGCGGGGAGGGGAGTGCTAGGTAAGGAACCAGAGCAAACGCAACAGGAGCACAGCAGGCGGGCTCCAAGAACCGCCCAGACCGGCCAAGCACACGGCTTACTGGGATGCTGGCTGGAGCCCAAGCCGCTCCATGAACAGTTCGGGCCCCGGGTCCGCTGCGCAGACACAGAGCACGTGCGCCCCAAGGCTAATCTAGATGCCAGAGTGACAGCCCCCGGGGCCCTGGTACCACCAGCAGTGCTCTGTGCACTCCATCCCACCTCCTCTCAGAGAAGCTTCCACTCCTAAACTGAGGTCCCAATCCATGCTATTTTTTTTTTTATTTTTTTAATATATTTTATTGATTTTTCACAGAGAGGAAAGGAAAGGGATAGATAGCTAGAAACATCGATGAGAGAGAATCATCGATCAGCTGCCTCCTGCACATCCCCCACTGGGGATGTGCCCACAACCAAGGTACATGCCCTTGACCGGAATCGAACCCGGGACCTTTCAGTCTGCAAACCGACGCTCTACCACTGAGCCAAACCGGTTTCGGCTCCATGCTATTTTTTAACAAACGTGTCCATGAGCTATTTATAAGAATTAAAACTTGTGTAAATCTGAGCCTTAAAGGAACAGTTGTAATCCAGTTCGTCATGATAAGCCTTATTCACCCAAACACCTGCTGACAACCCGGCAGGCTGGCTCTGCTCAGCAGCGGAGACCGGGAGCAGACCAGGCGGCCGCAGACCGACCGCGCAGTTAACGGGCTGGCGGGGTGTGTTCCAGAGCAGCTCCTTCCCGGGACCGGGCCTCCTTCGAAAGGCCCGGTGACCTCTGACCCGCCGGGCGCCGTGCCCTCAGGCTGCTTCTGTCCGGAGGTAATCGCTGGGGACGCGGCTGCCTGGTGGGAGGAGGCTGCCGGAGCAGGCCACTGCTGCTCCGGCCAGAGGGCCCCCCGCAACAGCCCTCGGTCGCTGCTCAGGGAGGGCCAGGGCCGTTACACTGAGGTCCCCGCACTGAAAGCACCTGCGCCCCACAGTGACCCGCTGAGACGGTAAGACCCCCGAAGCTGAGGGCATCATCTGTGAGGACTGCACCTCGGGCACTGCCCAGCCTGGGCACCCTGATGACACAGAGAGACTCACACGGCCACAGGCGTCACTGAACATATCTGTATTTAACTACATGGTTCTCCATCATACAACATGCACCTCTGACACAAGCTGGCCCGTGGCCATGTCCCCGAAGGAAGTGGGGAGGAGGGACGAGAGCTTGACGGCAAGCAGGAGAGCGCCCACTCTCCCCGCAGCGAGCAGATGGCGGCTGCGCCCTCGAGTCTAAACTGGCAGCGATTTAAATTTAGTTAAAGGAACAATTAAAATTCCGTTCCTTGGCGTCACGTCATGAGCCACACTTCAAGTTCAAAAAGGTGCTCTGATAGTCTGGCTCCCAAGGAGTACTTGGGTCTGTAACCAACACTGACCCGACAAGAAGTCTCGGGCCTGGCTGCAAGCAGATGCTCTGAACGTGGCTTAAATTCTTCTAGAACCCAGAGCCGCCGATGCTGATCCTTACGGCTAACCTGATTACACCGCGGAGTCTCAGGCTGTTCTAGCCGCAGCTCTGCTGTCGGAAACCTTGGTCTATGTGTGGAATAGAGGCTATACGGGTCAGAAACTCCTGGCGAAGTGAATCTGTAAAATAGCGAGCAGGCTCTGAGCTCCCCAACCCACAGCTAACTTCCGGAGGCAAGTGTTCCGTTCCCAAGGAGGGAAGGAGCTGCCGATAATAGCCCACAGGTCTCTCTCCTTCTAGAAGGAAAGGAAAAGGCAAAGACAAGACAGAAAGGCCTTGTTTCAGTGTGGGCATTGAGAGTGGCCGTCCCTTGGTCGCAGGAGGAAACACAGACCCCGTGGCCTGGCTGTTATGTAACTGCGGGACCAGAGCACATGCCCTGCAGGCAGCGGGCGGGGAGGCGCTGCTGGGGGAGGGGGGAGGAGGGGGTAAAGGGGAGGGGGGAGGGGGAGAGGGGGTAAGGGAGAGGGGGGGAGAGGGGAGGGGGAGGAGGGGGGTAAAAGGGAGGGGGGAGGGGGGAGGAGGGGGTAAGGGAGAGGGGGGGAGAGGGGAGGGGGGGTAAGGGAGAGGGGGAGAGAGGGGAGGGGGAGGAGGGGGGAAGGGGGAGGGGGGAGGAGGGGGGAGGAGGAGGCGTCCTGGGAAAGGTTAGGGTCACAGGCAGCCTGCGGGCTCGGTGCTATGGCGTTAACCTTTTCCACAGAAGAGGGAACAATGCGCTCGGAAGGGAAGGGGAAGAGCTCACTGCCCCCAGTCTGCATGGCGCAAACACCAGCCCGGTTCCCACAGTCCGGGGCACAGCCACTGTTCCAGGACAAAGCTCTCATTTCACACACACTCACACTCACACACTCACACACTCACACACACACACACACACACTCTCTCTCTCACACACACACACACACACACTCACACACACACACACACACTCTCTCACACACACACACTCACACATACACACACACACACTCACACACACTCACACACACTCTCTCTCACACACTCACACACACTCACACACACACTCACACACACACACACACACACTCACACACTCACACACACACACACTCACACACACACACATACACACACTCATACACACACACACTCTCACACACACACACACACACACACATACACTCACACACACTCACACACACTCACACATACACATACACACACACACACACACACGCGCGTGCGCCCTGTCCTGAGCCTGTCACTCAGGCTAAGACACGGCCAGGTGCAGGGCAGCGCCACGGGAGAGCCTGCGCACCAACAGGCCGCGACTGAATGCCAGGGCCACCACCACCCACTCCGTGGGCCCCGAGGATGGAGTCTGGGGGAGTCTACCCCCCACCCCCCCGCAGGGCACCGGGTCAGAGATCAGGGGCAGGCAGGAGGGAGACACGGGAGAGTGGTGGGAGGACGGCAGCCGGCCTGCGGAGCTGGGGGTGCCCGGGCGGGTGCTGCTGGCTGCCTGGCACGGGCGGCTGCGGGTGGGCTGTGCAGACCCACGGGCAGGCTGCACCGAGAGCAGGCGAGGCAGCCAGGGAGGCCATCGCTGGCCAGCAGCTGCAGCCCGTCTCCATTTGTCAGCAGATAAGAGCTCCAGGCGGCAGATAAGCAGGTCCCGGAGATGTCAGGGACAGCGTGTGACCAAGAGCGGTCCTGTCCCCGCACTCACTGTCAGCTGCTGAGAGAGTAACTAAGAAGTTATCTTCACCAGAAAGAAGGGTAACTCCGGAGTGACGGATGTTAACGGCATTTGCGGCCCCACTTCACATGTGGAAGCGTCACGCTGCAGCCCTCACTGACCCCCGAGGCCTGGGGGCCGTATCGGGCCGGCGGGGAGAAGCCCGCCAGAGCCAGTGCGATGGGAACGGGACGCTGCCCTGCCCCTCAGACCTTCAGACGTCCGTGACCTGCTTCCCAACCGGCGGCTCCTCAGCCACCAGGCCTCCCGCTGGCCTGCACGCTGGGCGGGAGCAGAGCCCACGGAGGTGGCGCGGCTGCCCACTGCCCCACCCAGCTGAGCCCGGCACCACCCAGCCCAGTCCTCCCGGAGGCAGGGCCTCTGAGGGCAGACCCTGTGGCACCTCCTGCCCGGCCTCCTGTGTGCGTGGCTTAATGTTCTCAAAGAGCTGCTTTCAAAGTTCTTAACCGTCAAAGACAGGACACTGCTCTCAAACCGCCTTCACGGACAACAGCAGGACCCGGAGAACGGAGAACACAGCGAGGCTCCTCCTCCTTTCCCGCTGAGGGCGGCAGAGCAGGCAGGGCCGCCCCGCGTCCCCCACGGACCTGTCAGACCCCTCCCTCAGCCTCCCTCAAGCCCAGTGACATACGCTGAGGCTGTCGCTCCTGACTGGCTGTGAGGAGGGATGGCCGGTACACAGCCGAGCCAGCCCCGGTCAAGAGAAGCGGAGACAGTAACACAAGAGCCTTTATCTCTCCCCGACCTCTGCTTGGGTTTCAACAAAACCCGATCCGCGGGCCTGGCCGGCTGGGTTAATCAAAGCAAGCAAATCTCGAGCGCGGAGAACGCTCCTTCACCTGCGACGTGCCAGCTCCTTTCCGGAGGGCACAGGTTCCGGGGACCTTCAGTGCCGCCCCGTTATTGTTATTATAATGTCACTCCGATCTGTTCCAAGTCCGGAGACTCACACAATGTCACACCAAACCCGCAGCACACATTCAACGGGGAGGATGACCGCGGGGCCGGGCCGGTCCGCCGTGAAGAGGAACCGATGGGCCCGGGCCCGAGGCGGCCGCTCACTCCCCGCCCACCGCCCCTCTATTTAAACCGGTCTGCCCGCCCCCGTGCCAGGAACGCAGCCTGCACTGGCTCCAGCACCTTCTCCTTATTAATTCCACCTCCACTCTTCTCGCATTTGCTTTCAACCAATAAAGTAGTATCATTTGGTGCCAATAAATATACACAAACCTCAGACTGTCTGACAGAACCCAGCTCTCTCCATGTGTCCATGTATTTTTTAAAATATATTTTATTGATTTTGTACAGAGAGGAAGGGAGAGAGATAGAGAGTTAGAAACATCGATGAGAGAGTCATCGATCAGCTGCCTCTTGCACACCCCCCACTGGGGATATGCCCGCAACCAAGGTACATGCCCT